AAAAAGTAAAGTACACGAAATATATAAGAATATACTTTGAATTTTTGTTATATGTTACTATACGTACTGAAATATTAAGTTCAGGTATAAAAATAAAACATATATATGAAAATTTTTCGGGATGTTTATAAGCATATACTAATTCCCATGAATTGCTTACTTCAAGATAAATGTAATCAGAATACACTCAAAGGGACAGATATATAAACAGTTCATATAACTTTTGTCATTTTCTAAACTAAATGGAAATTAAATAAGAAATTAAGTAAGATTTTGTAAATAATTAAAGATTAATCTCGCACTTCTGTTAAATGCCAATCGATATTTTTCGAAAACTTATTACCATGACAACATATTTACTTCGGTAATTAAAATCGAATTCATTCGCCACATTTATATCGAAGACAGTAAAGTCAGTCTCGAATACGTTCTATTATAGTTGAAATTATTAATTTTATTATCTAATTAAAAGAAGTACTAGAATAAAATAAAGTAAGTATGAAAAGTATTATTCTTTTATACTATTGCAAAAAGTAAACTAATTTTTAAATAGAGTTTTTAAGGAAAACACTCTATTGATTTATAAACGAAGTGCATCTGTAATAAAATAATCAAAATTGCAGAAAATAATGTCATTATCTTGTAAATAATTTTATATGTTTATATTCTATATGTAATCAAATATAATTTTAACGTTATCTTCTGTATAAATTATTTAACGTACATTTATATCGTACAGTTCTGTGAAAAGTTTTTTGGATATAATACTTTTACCATAAAAACGCGAAATATATTTATAAATATATTCTAACTTTATTCAAGTCGTTTAGCTACAACAAGTAATAATCTATTATGGACATAATATTATTAGAATAAAAATAAACTTTAGCTTTCAATGCTTTGAAACAGTTTTAATTGCATTAAAGTTCAAAATTAATAGACAGTACTTGCTTCAAACGTAAGATACATATGTGAGGTCGCGGATTTTAAGGGATTGTAAAATTAAGGTGAATTGTGTTTTTTGAAATGTAAACATTCCCCAATAGAAAAAATGGTGAATAAGGGCGAAGGTCACCGGTTCTAGTAACAAGTCAATGGGAAAGTTGACACTTACTTGTTAGCTGTCAAGAATGCTTGTCATCGTCAACATTTGTCGATAACATGACCTCTTTCCCACGACAATGATATAAAAGCGAGAGCTACCGGAAGCTCAGGGTGATCGAACTGGAAGTTAGTTTTTTGGTAACTGCATTCTGTCTCTACGACCTCCATACACTGGACCTGATCCAACGAAAGGAGAAGATATCGGTTAGAAGACACTCAACGGTTGCGACACTTCCATATAGAACTGTTACCTCCAACATAAGATGTAATTATTAGGTAACTCTCTCTCTCTCTGGAAAATGGGCCTAGCCGGTAGATGAACCTAGGTTAGACTTGTAATCGTATCCTAATCGCATTGAGCCGTCTTTAGCCTTATTTAACCCGTGTATGTATTCAACTAGTAGTTATATAATAAACCTTTCTTTTTGTTATATGTTAAACCTGTCTCCTGTCACTGCGAAAAACGGACACCTCTCGACTTGCTCACGTACTCCTCACTCGATTTTGCCCTCCTATCAAGCTTTAGCCATCTGACGACACCGAGGTCGGGTTTTAGCAACCTGTGCTGATTAATTAATTAAGTGGCATTTAGGAAACATCCCCTGTGCCCCCAGGTTATCTCACGCATATACTGTAAAGTATATATAAAACGAGGCATTACAAATTAAAGTTTCAGTTGTTGGTTTTAATAATTTGGGAGTATTTGGTATTTCATATGAATACTTTAGCTAGGATGTTCAAAGTATTTGTGTTGTTACTATAAATACTATAAATAAAGTACTTTTTGTATTTTGAAGTATACTCAAAACAAGTATCGATTTTACTACATAAATTAGAATTTAAAATACTCTAAAGCAGCGGTTGGCAACCGGTGGTCCGTGGACCATTGATGCTCCGCGAGAAAATTTGGGTGGTCCGTGGAGAAATTTGAGCATTGATCAACTGAAAACATCGCGAAGTATTACGAAAGAAATGCAAAATGATTAGATATTTTTTTCACTCATTGGGGATTTTTATTCAAATCTAAAACCAAATACGAAGTTTCTGTATGAACAATAAACAATATTGTGAGTGCGATTGTCGTTATTGGTGGAATAGCTCTAAGAACCCATAAACTTATTTCAAGGAAGCAGCAATAAACTTTAGGCTTGTATTAATTTGTTATAATTACACACGCGAGTTTCATATTAATATAAGTAAAAAAGTTTCATATTAATATAGTAAAACTAGCTGTTACCCGCGACTTCGTCAGCGGAGGTTTTGCAAGCAAACCCCATTTACATCCAATATTTCAATAACCATAGTAATTGTTATATAACACCTACCGCTGAAGAGAATTGCCGAAAATCAAACGAACTATTTTCAATTTGATCAATTTTCTGAAACGTTTACAATCGTTCTATAATCGAACCAATACGCAATAACAAATTCGAATTTAAAAC